ATGAAGACCAGTCGACGACATGAGCGACGATGCATCAATGCGATCACCAAGCGAGGAACAGCCCCCGGCAGCAGCAGACGGCTAAGTCGTAGCCGTAGCCGCGTCATGGGTGACAATCACAGAGGCGTTTGCAGAGGGAGAGCCCACGGCGGCGGTGCTGAATGAACAGACCGAAATTGGGGCCGTCGAGGGGGGGGCGGGGGCGACGGAGGCGGCGGGCTCGGTGGCGGCGGCGAGGCTGGCGGCGGCGGCGGCAAGCTTGGTTGGTGGTGGCTAGGGCGGCGGCGGCGGGAGGGAGTGACAACGGCGGCGGCGGCGAAAGTCTTCGCCCGCCTATTCCAAGCGCCTGAGGTGACTGCACAGAGGTGACTGCAGGCATCTGGTGTCAGGCACCCAACTTGGTGCCCTTAGTCGCGACTTTGGCTGCCCGGGAAGACTCGAGTCACGCGCCTTTGACACAGCCAGGCCCGCCTTCAACACTGCTGTGGAGCGTAGACACCTACGATGTGAGAAAGTTGAGCTGTGAAGTTCACAAGGCCTCCCTAATTGGCCTTGAGCTGAGCTAAGCATCTGCTAGTACCCATGCCTGGCCCGGCGGCGGCAGCTCCCACGCGCGAGGCGACCGAGCTGGCTGCAGAGCGCGGTGTCGGTCCCGAAGAGGCTGACCGGCAGCAAGCCGCAGGGCCCGCCGCCAGCTTGCCGACACGGCTGCCGCGCAAGCTATGCGGCGGCGGGCAGGCACGCATAGACTTCATGCAGAAGGGGTGGCAAGCCGTCGGCCCGTGCTTCTCAACCGACGATGCTGCGCTGGAGTCCATGCCTGATCACGGGGGTAACAGCGGGCGGTGGAAGCGAGCGCCGACCGGGCGAGGCACCAGCAGCGCACGCAAGTTCATCTGCAACGCCCATCGTGCGTGCGAGGTGCACGCGCTGCTGCGCGAGGAGAGTCTTGGCTGGCAGTGGCACATCTCGCGGGGCGTCGCACACACCTCCACCTGCACGCACGGTCCACGCAGCAACTCCGCGCTCAGCTGGGAGCAGGCGGCGGTGCTCGCGTCTCACCTCCGACTCGTTCACGGCTCAAGGCTTTTCTTTCTGTCACAGGTGCATATTCGCTCAACTCACGTCCGCCACAGTGACGTCTCAGAGTGTCTCCTCATCCGTCACAGTTCCGACTCTTCACGGCCACTCACCGTATCTCGTTTGCCGCCCACTCGTCTCACTTTGTCTCCTCACCGCTGGCAGGTGCGACTCTTCGCGGCTTCACTCGGGAACTAGCCGGGGCAGTCGGAGAAGGGGCAACTCCGTGCACTGACGGTCGGCCGTCAGAAAACACGCCTGCGTGGATCGCGTCACACCAATCCTCGCTACCCAACGCGGCCAAAGGATATCCACCTCCTCGAGAACCTCGAGAACTGAGTACAGTTGTACTGACCCTCTACCCACTGATCACTTCCGCCCCCTCGTTCCCAACCCATCCACCTCGCCTCGGGCCGCGGCGCGGAATGAATTCTTTTTCTCGCGACCGCAGGGGTTGGAAAATTATTTTCCGGCGCGCGGCAAAATTCTTTTTCTCGAGCGAGTGGGCTTTTAAAATTCTTTTTCTCGGCTTCCATATCCTAGCGCGGCCAAAGGATTCTACTCGAGAACCTGGAGCTATGCCGCACGGCCCGCCGCCGAAATGCGGGTCCCTTGCCCCAGATTTCTCCGCCACGTCCCACGAGAACAAGACCGTCAAGCTGAGTGACTTTGAGGGCAAGAAGCTCCTCCTCTGGTTCTATCCTCGGGCGTCCACAGGCGGATGAACCGATGAGGGGCTGGCGTTCCAGGCGCTGCTGCATAATTTCACCAAGGCCGGGTGTGCCGTCGTCGGCTGTAGCAACGACAGCGTCGAGAAGAATAAAACCTTCTCTGATGCGCAGGGTTTCACTTATCCGCTCCTCTGCGACGAAGACCTCTCCGTGGCGGCTGCATACGGTGCGGCATTGAGCGCGGAGGAGGGCGGCCCGAAGGCGAAGCGCGTCGCGGCGCTGATCGACAAGGGTAAGCTCATCAAGTACTTCGACCCGGCAGGCAAGGGCGAGTTCCCTTGCCAAGCGCTCAAGGTAGTCGAGGCGCTCATCTAGAGCGACGCGATAGAGGAGATCAGATTGAACCCAGGAGGAGACCACGCGTGCTTCGCGAATGACGGCGTCGCCCGTAAACCGCGCCATCACCCAAAAACCTCCTGGGTTGAATGGGTAGGCGGCGGGTGACGCCTGAGACTGCACGGCAAGCGTCATGTTTTTAGATCTGAAGAGCGTGTGCGAAGAGGGAGCCGGCAGATCCGCACAAAAACCATCTCCATCACTGTCTCGTGTCTGTCACGGGGCATTCAGCCAAAATGTGGGGGGAGAACCATTTCGCAACTGCGTCCATATTACGTACCTGCGGTACCCGGGAGACAGGAGTGGGAGTGCTTAACATCAACACATTCTGCACGCCCGCACATGTGCGAGACATGCTCATCCACATCTTCCCGCGCCATAAACAGTGCTCACACGTGCGACAGCCGATACATGCACGGGCTGCAACCCATTAGCATCGCATACTCTCCCTTAGATTGCTCACAGAGCTGTGCCATCTCCAACGCACCTTTGCTCGACTCCAGGCCGGCGTCGTGCCGAGCGAACTTCCAGCTCCCTGCGCGCGTAGACACAGACACAACAGCGTACATTCTAAGCGCCGGGCCGGGCGAGCCGAGAAGCTCACACCCTGCCGCCCGGCGGCGCCGAGATCCGCGCGCCTCGCAGCGAGGCGGCGGTGGCAGTTGCGACGCGGCGGAGGCCAGGCCCACCAACCCTGTAGCGCGGGGAGGGGGCATGCGCGCGTCAGCGGGAATTGTCTCTCCTCGCGGCGGGAAGCCCTCCGAGCGGCGCCGATTCGCAGCCGCCGGCGTGCGCGCAGCGCTGTCGCTGCTCGCCGCCGCCGCCGGCGCCTCGGCGTAGAAGCGGCGGACGGCGGCCTACGAAGATGGACGAGCGCTAGTTGGCGGATGCCGGCGCCTCGGCGGAGGAGGTGGCGGCAGCTGCCTTCTCGGAGCGGGAGGTGAGCAGCTCGTCGGTCTTGCAGAGCTCCTTGAGCCGCGCCTCACACTCCTCCTTCTCCGCGCGGACGATCCTAGGGTTGGGATTAGGGTTAGGGCCAGAGGGCTGGCACACACTCCTCGTTCTCCGCGCGGACGATGCCTGCGCTGCGAGAGGCGGCACTGGCGCAGCACGTCGCGCATCGTCGAGCGGCGGATACCTGTTCACGGCTGCACGCGTGAAGAGGCGCCGTTCACGGACCGCACCCTCGCACCGTCGAGCGGTGGCTGCGGTCGGCGTGCTCAAAGACGTTGGAGACGAACGCCTCCCAGCCCGCAACCTCCGCCCCAAAGATGGTCTCCACGAAGGCGCGCGTCGCCTCGAGCCGCCCCCGCTCCGCCGCCGCAGGGTCCCCGATGCACGGTCCTCCGCCTATGGGGCGTGTCCCGGACGTGTCCCGGACGTGTCCCGGCGGGCGGCGCCTCCGCCACTCGCATCCTCCGCCAAGCCCAGCGTACGCTCGCACCGCGATCGGCCGCAACGCGTCAGTCAGCGGGTCGACCAGCTCGAGCGGCTCCCCGCTCGCGTCGGTGCCGGCGGCGTACCGCATGAAGGCGGCGAGAGCAAGCGCGACGATGTCAGTGCCCTCCTTGGCGTGCTTGTGCGCGGGCGCCACCTACCACACCACCCACGGGACTGAGCCCACACCGGATTCGGTACTCTGGAGGTATGGGAGTCGCCGTCCCGCACCCACGAGCTCTTGGCAAGGACCTCGCAGACCAGCTCCTGCTGCGCGCGGTAGTAGAGCAGCGCGTGCTGCAGCGTGTTCATGAACTTTTGCGAGCCGTCGAGCGCGAGGCGCGCAAGCTTGTCCTTGATGAATTAATTAGCCCGTGCTCATTCATTAACTATGCGAGAGGCGCGTTCATTCATTCATTACGCGAGCTTGTCCTTGATGTACGCGTTCGAGAAGCGCTCGAGCAACGAGCGCTGGTACTCGGCCAAATCGACGCCATGCACCGACCCGAGCGTCTTGACAACCTCGAGCATGTACGCGCGCAGAAAGGCAAACACGTCCGGGTCGGCGAGCGCCTACGCGAGAGACGTGTCGATCACAGCGGCGGGGTGTGGAGAAGAGGCGCCCGGGTCGGCGATCGCGTCGTCGACGAAGACGTGGTCGCACAACATCGCGGCGTACGAGAGCGCCTGAGAGGAAGCGTACGAGTCATGCACACGCCACTCTCTCCTCGCCCAGCACCGCGGCGCACGAGAGCGCCGAGTGCGACGAGTTGAGCAGGCGGAGCTTCATCAGCTCGTACGGCTCCACGTCGGCCGTCAGCATCACCTGTTCACGGCTGGAGGTGTCAAGGGGCGCTGCTCCCGACACGACCTCTGCGCGCGGCCGGCCCCACACGTCATTCGGCATCGCCAGCTCCCAGCTCGGCCTCCCCGCCGAGAAGGAGTCCTCGATGACCCACTGCAGGAAGGGCTCCTAACCAACAAGCAACCATGGACTCGGTCGACAAGTCTGAGCGAGGTCGATGGCCCACCGCAGGTAGGGGCACCGCGATCACAGGCCACTCGTCGACGATGCCATACTCGGAGCGGAGCAGCTCGCGGTGCTCGTTCTCCGTGGCGGGAGTGATGCGGTCGACCATCGAGTTTGGAAAGGCGACGTCCCGCTCCATCCACGCGGCGAGGTCGGGGTCGACGGCAGACGCGAAGTCGAGCGTCACGGCGCGGCAGACGGAGCCGTTCATGGGCATGTTGTCGCACGACAGGACCTAAGGAATGGTCCATTGATACTTAACCATTCATGACGGAGCCGATCACAGGCATGTTATCGCGCGACAGGAGACCGTGAGAGGGCCGAGGCCCGCGCTCCGTCGCCGCTGCAAAATGGTGCAGATGAGGCCGAACGCGGTGCGCGGCTGGGCGAGCCCACGCGCCCCGCCCCACTCGTCAATGTCCTGCTCACAGCTGCAGGTGTGAACAGACGCTGTTAACACCTTGAGGTCGACCGCCCCACTCGTCAATGTCCTGCTTCACCAGCGGCGCCGTGCGGTCGAGAGACCCGTCCGTGCAGCGGTAGTAGCCCTTCTCAGTGACGGTGAGCGACACGATCCGCACGCTCGCGCTGCAGAGCCGCGCCAGCGCAGCCTCGGGGTCGGCGGGCACGAAGACGAACTCGAGGATCGAGCCGATGACGCGCGCAGAGGCGGCCGCGTTGCCTCGCAGCAGGAGCGAGTACAGCCCGTCTTGCTTGGTGAGCACCTCCGCCATCTTTTTGTCCCACGGCATCAAGCCGACGCCGATGATGCCCCACCGCTCCGCCGCCTTCACCTCTCCCGCGTGCTGCTTCGTCAGCAGCACGTCCGTCACGTACGCCAGGTGCGAGCGGTGGAAGCCTCCGACTCCGATGTGAGCGATGTGCGCCGTCGCCTCGCGAGAGCCTTGCGCGGGCAAGCTTGCCGCGCTGCCTGCCGCGCCGATGGCGGCGAGGTTGGCGGCACAGAGGGGGAGAGCCTGCCGCTTTGGCGCCGCGGGCTCGGAGAAGGGGTTGAAGGCAAAGCGGAGCCAATCGCCGGACGCCTCGTCCCCGAGTGCCGCCTAGAAAAAGAAATGTGACGCGAGTATTTCTTCTTACGTGTGGAGTCGCCTCGTCCCCGAGCTTGTCCCCGGGGGCCGCCTCGTCTGCCGCGTCGCCGGCGGCGGAGAGAGTGTCGGAGAGGTTGGTGGTCGGCGTGCCCACTCCCATCTCCACCTCGAGCAGGGTGCCGTCCTACAGGGAGGGTCCGCGAAGGCTCCCACAGAACCGGGCTCACACCTGTCCCCCTCCTCCCCGCCTCGAGGCGGCTTGGTCACTCACCTCTGCTATCGCGGGACCGACGAGGTCGCGGGAGGACTGGCGCGATCGGCTGCGCGAGGAGACAGGCGAGGGCGCAGAATGCTGCGAGGGCGCCTGCTGCTGCACCTCGAGCGCAGACACCCCCTGTCAGTTAATTAACTTTTGATTCTTCAGTTGTTCTTCCTGTCTGCACCTCGAGCGCAGACAGCCCCTGCAGCCCGGAGCCAGCCTGCGCGTCGGCCAACCCATGGACGGCGGTGAAGCTCGCCTCGCCGCGGGCGCCGCGCGCGGCGCCGCGCCGCCAGTCCGAGTAGCCGCGCCGGAACTGCGCCGCCTCGTCGCGGATCTTCTGCAGGTTCTGGTAGCCCGACAGGTTCTTCGCCTCGAGTGACTCGGGGCTCGCCGTCGTGACGGCGAGCGGGAGGTTGAGGTCGAGCGCAGATAGCTTCCACGCGCGCGCCATCGGAGGCTGGTCTGAGCCGCCCGAGCTGCGCAGCTCGCCGAGCATCGGCCGCCGCAGGTCGCCCGACGGCACGCGGAGCTGGTTGATGACCTCCTGCCGCGCCTCCTCGTCGAGCAGAGTGCCGTAGTCCGAGTCGATGGAGGTGATCTGGTTCTCGCCGCTCGGACGCTCGCGAAAATGCGCGACGAGCGGGACGGGCATCGCGAGACCAACACTCTCCGACTCTAGTAATAAAGAATTTTACAACAAAACTCCCTCGCACGACACTGGGATAAAGAATTCAAAAATTCAACCTCTCACAGCACACAGGCTCGCGGCGTGCCGTTCTCCCATCCCTCCCTTGGGTTGTATGTTTTCTTTCTTTCTTTGACAGGCTCGACACAGGTGCGAACTGGCGCGTGCTAGTACTATCGCCGGCACACCACCGGAGCCGCCTAAGCGACTCCGTTAAGAGCGGCAATGCACTTAGCACCGTGCACAAAGCAAAAGAATTTTACAACAACAGGCGGTCGCACGACACGATTCACGCGACAGGCGAGGCGCGGGCGACGGCTTCCTCAGAAGCCGTCGCCCGCACCACAGGAGCAGTCACACCAAAAAGAAAGAAAGAAAACAGACACCCAAGGGAGGGATGGGAGGACGGCACGCCGCCACCACACAGGGATTTTAAGGAGAGGAGTGTGGTGCGCTAGCCGTCGCCCACCCTAGGGGGTCTGCCTCTTCCTATCTCTTTTCGCAGTCTCTCGCCGATTCTCGCTGCAACCTTCATGCCACCTCGCGGCCGCTTCCCACTCTCGTCGTTCTCTCCCTTGTCACTTCCTCCTCTGTCGCGTCATTCTCTTCTGCCTCGTCCTGCGCCGCCGCCGCCTGCCGTTCCCTTGTTCTCTCGGCTTCTTTCGCCTTTCGGCGCAGCTCCGCCCTCCTTGCTGCATATCCTGGCCCCTCGAGTCTATCGAGCTCCCCTCGCGCAAGGACCACGTTTCTGACTCCCACTCCGATCATTTGCCTACAGGTCATGTTGTTGCTCAGGTCCACTCTCTCTTCGAACACTCGTGCCTCGCGGAGGAGGAATGGAAACTCCCTCCCGGCGGCGTCGGTGAGCACGAGGGGAAGGTCGCCGACGACGGAGGCGTCGGCTGCCTCCCCGCTGAGGCCGATGAAGGTGACGTTGCTCGGCCTGGTGTTGATGAGGTCGGCCTGGTTGGGATGAATGTGTTCGGTGGCACCGGTGTCGAAGACGATGATCGCGGCGGGGGCCGAGATCAGAACGTGCCGGCGCTCGTGATGGCGCGTGACGGTTCGACGCTCCTGAGCTGCGCAAAGGGCGTGCAAGTGCTCCCGCGTTGCGGCCGCCGACGCGCTGCGGGCGCGCCTGTTGGAGATGGGCGTTGTCGTCGACGATAGGACGGGCGGCTTCCGCATGGCTACTGAAGCTCCCACCGATCCCGCCTCGTCCAACAGCTACGACGCGGCCTGGCACGCGCGCGTATCCTCCACGCGACACGTTTCGCCAGAAGCGTTCCTCGCGCACTCTTCCTCTTGGCCGCACGTGCGGAAGCTGCAGACGTACTGTGAGCTCCTCGGCAAGCGCAGCGACGAGCGCCACGAGGTCGGCGAGCGGCTGGGCGTCACGCTTGGCCTCGAGCTAGAGCGGAGCGGCGGTGCGGGCGCGGTGCTCTGCGTGGAGAAGCCGTACCTGGACGGCTTTGTGCGTGGCTTCCGCCGTGCGGGCGGTGCGCACACGCCAGCACCGCCACCGCCGCCACCGCCGCCTCACGCATACCAGCCCGCCGCCCACCGCAGGTGGCGCGCCGTTTGTTCTCCTCGCGATCAACGGCGGCGACTCGCCCCTCACGCCCGACGCGCAGCGTCGGCTTCTCGCCCTGCCGGGCCTGCGCGCCGTCTACGCGCACAACCTGAGCGCGCCGCCCACGCCACGCGCCGCCCAGCGCATGCACCCTCTGCCCCTCGGCGTGTGCCCCGTCCGCGGCGCGGGCGCAGCGGGCGACGCGCTGCTGGAGGGGGCGCGCGCCGGCGCGCCGCCGTGGGCGCAGCGCGACAAGCGGCTGCTGCTCGCGCCGATGAAGAGCAACTCGCGCTGGCGGAAGGCGTACCTCTCGGTGCTCAGCCACCCGGACTACGCGGCGCTGGTACACATCGCGTCCGGCCGGCTCTCCCTCGCGGAGTTCCTGCAGCAGCTCGCCGCGCACCGCGCCGTCCTCTCGCCGCCAGGCCGCGGCTACGACTGCTTCCGCACTTGGCAAGCGCTCGCGGTGGGCTCGGTGCGCCGCGCCGCCCGCACACGCGCCCTCGCTGCGCCTGCCGCTGGCGCGCTCCGCCTCCTTTGCTCCTTCGCTCCTTCGCCCCCGAGGCGGCTGCGCGCATGGGTGGCGTGGGTGGAGGGGGTGACGTGCCCAATGCGGCAGGTGCCTCTCGTGCCGCGCGACCCGCGCTTCGACTCTCGCCTCTTCCAGCTCGGCCCTGTCGCGCTGCCGCCGCCGGAGGAGCTGACGCCCTCGCTGCTCGCCAAGGTGCTCGACGGTCTCAGCCCGCCGTCGGGTGGGGCGCCGGACGCAGGCGGGGCCACGGGCCCCGGCGCGAGCGCAGGCGTGCTTCTGGATCCGTGGCTGGCGCGGTGGCGCGCTCACTTGGCGGAGCTGGAGCCCGGGCCGGAGACACAGCTCGACTGCGAAGGCCGAACCGCCGTGGCCGCCGCCGATCCCGCCGCCGCTCCCGCCACCGCGCCCGCCACCGCTCCCGCCGCCGCCGATCCCGCCGCCGCTCCCGCCACCGCGCCCGCCACCGCTCCCGCCGCCGCCGCTTCTGCCACCGCTCCCGCCGCTGCTCCCGCCGCCGCTCCCGCCACCGCTCCCGCCGCCGCCGCTTCTGCCACCGCTCCCGCCGCTGCTCCCGCCGCCGCTCCCGCCGCCGCTCCCGCCTCTGACGACGGCTCCCGCACCCCGCCACCGCCGCCGCCGCCACTCTCGCTGTCGCCGCCGCCCGCGCCGCCCTCGCCGCCGCGCTTCGCTGTCGGCTTCTCGACGGGCCACGTGGGCACCACCTCGCTCTCGCACCGCGGCATGTACGCGTGCGCGTGCGAGCAGCGCGCCGCGTGCCGGTGCCTGACGCGCACCCTTGATGCCTTCTCCGCCTTCCCGACCCTTCCGCCTTCCCTCCCGCCCTTCCGCCTTGCCTCCCGCCTTCCCGCCTTCCCGCCTTCCCGCCTTCCCTCCTTCCCCGCCTCCCCGCCTCCCCGCCTTGCCTCTGCAGCGCCACTGCCGCGTGCCCACCGCCCAGCTGCGCTCGCACTGCACGCCGTTCCGCCGCGTGCCGACGACCGCGCGTGGGCGGCCTGCCCGCGTTGGCAGGTGCGCGCTGTCGTCTTACGCAGGCGCCTCCGTTTCGTTCACGTGTGTCCGAGCGCCTCTTTCACAAGAGCAGGCACCGATGGTCCCCCGGGCGCCGGGGGGGCTCAGTTGAAGATCGGTGCGTCTTACGGCCTCGCTCTGCAGGCACCGATGGTCCCCCGGGGGGGCTCAGTTGAAGATCGGTGGTATTCACGTAAACGCACAACCCCGGGCCCCGAAATCGCACAGTGATGACAGTGACATGCAACACGGGGAAACCCAGGGAAGGCGAGCAAAAACCTTATCGCGCGCGCTAGACGCCGACTCGGAGGCCGCACCGGTCAGGCGCGCAGCCGGAGAGAGAGGGAGGCGCTCAATCGCCGAACTCGGCGAGCGTCTCCAGCGTCTCCGCTTCGTACGCACCCTCCTCCCAGCAATTGAGCGCCTCCTCCACCCCCGCGCCCGCGCCCGCAGCGTCCGTGCCCGCGAGGATGGCAGCGACGCGCTCCTTCTGCCGAGCGTTCGCCTCCGCCTTCGCCTCCTGGGCGTCCGCCTCCATGACCCGCACCACCTGCTCCCTCCACACGGCGACCCGCCCGGCCAGCTGGAGGAAGGCGTCCGACGACCGCAGGAGCGCCCTCTCGGCCGCCTGCGAGGTGGCGCCGCCCCCCGACCTCTGCTGCGCGTTGCGCCTGGCCCTGCGCCCCTTCAAAGGTTGCGGCCGCAGCTCCAGCACGACGTACGTGTGGCGTTGCGGGCCAGGCTCGCGGTACGCCGGCACCCCGTCCTCGTCCGCGTATCCAGGCTCGCCGGGACGGGCCTCGCTCCAGGCTGTGACCAGCCCGGAGGCTTTCAGCTCCTCCCCGATCTCCTCGCCCTCAGCAACGAGCTCCGCCCGCCGTCGGGCCGCGCGCTTGGCCCGGAATGCCACCGCCTCCGCCGCCGCCGCCGCCGCCTCCTCCGCCGCCGCCTGCAGCGCCGCCTCGGCATCTCTGCCGGGCGATGCCGCCACCGCAGCAGTAGCAGAAGCAGCAGCAGCAGCAGTTGGAGCAGCAGCAGCCGCTGCCGCCGCCGCCTCCGTCGCCGCCGCTGCCGCCTCTGCCGCCTCCTCCGCCGCCTCGACCGCCTCCGCCTCCGCCGCCTCCGCCGCCGCCGCCGCCGCCGCCACGGCCTCGCCGGGCGGTGCGGCCGCAGCTGCAGCTATGGCAGCAGCCGCAACAGAGGCAGCAGCAGCGGCAGAAGCAGCGGCAGCAGCAGCAGCAGCCGCCATCGCCGTCGCGCGGTCGCTCAGCATCTCGAACGAATCCCCACGATGAGCAGCGAGGCGAGGAATATCTCCTCGCTGCCGATCGTCGGGCCGATAAACTGCATCTTGAACATCTCCAATAACACGAGCGTAGCGGGAAGAAAGTGGTAGCTCACAGCTCGCTGTAGATGTCCTGGCGCTCTTCGGTTCGTCCTGATCTGATCCAACCGCGACTTCCGCCGCTTCCGCGAGCTCGGCGAGCTCTTCGAGCTCGTCTGCCCACCGCTCCAGCGCCGCACCCTCCGCAAAAGCCTCTGCATGGCTTTTGCCGGAGCAGCCGCCACCTGAAGCGGCTGCCTCTGCGGCGCTGGCGAGAGCCCGCTGCACAGCCTCACGGAGCGCTGCCGCAGCGCCATCCTCCTCCTCCACCACCACCTCCACCACCGCATCGGCACCACCGAGATGCTCTGCGGCGAGAGCGACAGTGTTGGCTTCATGCAGTGAAGCGTAAGCGTGCAGCACCGTCTGCTCGTCCGCCGGCAGTCGCTGCCGGCCGCCTGCGCCGACGCTGTTGACGACGCTGGCAGCGCCGCTGTTGCCGCCGGTCGCAGTACCGTCGTCAGCGGCGGCGCCGCCGCCGCCACCAGGTGGGCGAGCAGAGTCGGCAGGCCTGCCGACAACCACTTCACAAAAACAGAATTTTACAAAAAAGAAGCACGGCCTCTCTCAAGTGCTCCAAGTGCATGCACCTGCCGACGCCGGTTTCTGTTCACGCCGTGGTATTCACGCCCCAACAACCTCTCGAGTGAGGAGACCACGGCGCGTCGTCGGTGCCTTCAGTGCATGCGAGCCGCAGCAGACACACCAGTCGACCAGAGAGAAGCAGGATGGCAGCCGTGCTCAACATCGGCGGTAGCGATGATCCAGCGTGCGCCACCCGCCCGGCGTTCTGCCCTCCCTCCCCCGCCGCCGCCACCGATACACGCCGTCGCGCCTTCCCGCCGCTGCCGCTGCTCCGGCCTCCTTGCCTCTCCTACGGCCTCGCCGCGCCCGTCGCCGCACGGGCCCTCGCTGTCGCGAGCTCCGCCTGCGCCCGCACCACCTCCCTCTCCAGCGCCACCGCCTGCAGCGCCGCCGCCTGCAGCGCCGCCGCCTGCAGCGTCGCCGCCTGCAGCGCCGCCGCCGCCCTCTCCGCCCGCGGCAGCGGCAGCGGCAGGCGGTGCCGCCCACACGGCCGCCCGCTGCGCGCAGGTACCGGTACAAGATGCCGGCGGTGGTCGGCAAGCAGGAGGGGCGCGGCAACGGCAAGAAGACGGTGATCGTCAACGCGGCGGACGTCGGCAAGTCGCTCAAGCGGCCGGGCGAATACCTCACCAAGTACTGCGCGGTTGAGCTCGGCACGATCTCGACCTTCGACAAGACGCAGGGGCAGGGCTGCATCACCGGCTGGCACGAGACCAAGGACCTGCAGGCGAAGCGGTTCAAAGTCAGCCATCACCGCATGACGGCCCCTCCCCCACTTCTTGTCGGCTCCTCTCACCCGTAGGACAAGACCAACAAGTTCATCAAGGCGCGGCGAGTGGTGCGCCAGTTGCGAGCTGGCGGGCGTGATCACCACTCGTTGGGAGCCCTTGACAGGAGTGGGCGCTGTGCGTGTGAGCGCAGTCCGGCGGGCGACATGACTGACCACCATTCGCCGCCAATGAACAGGAGCGGTCCACGTCAAGACGGCCGACCTCGAGGTTTGAACAGCGTCTGTTCACACGTGCAGCTGTGAACAGGAGCGGTCCACGTCAGGACGGTCGACCCCGAGGTGTGAACAGCGCCTGTTCACACCTGCAGCTGTGAACAGGAGTGGGTGCTGTGCGCCAAGTGCAAGTTGCCGGAGACATCGATGGAGCTCGACTCGAAGAAGCGGATCATGTTCGACTGCAAGGCTAGCTTAGCATCGCTGTTAGTAGTGTCAGTAGCGTTCGTAGCAACAGCAGCAACAGCGGCAGCAGCAGCAATAGCAGCAGCAGCAGCAATAGCATGAGTCGCCGCATCGGCCCGAGGATGCGGATCCTGCTGGGCGTGCGGCCACCGCTGGTGTAGCGGCGAGCTCGTTGTTCCTTGTGCAGAGAGAGTCGCTTCCCGTCGAGTGCTGCTGCGGCCACCCCCCCTCCTTCCCCCTCGGGAATATCTCCCCACATCTCCCCATATCTCCCCATATCTCCTCCTTCAGCCTCGGGCCTCACTCCACACTGTCTGTCCTACCAGGTGCAGCGTCGCGGACATGTCTCACAAGCGATTAATTAGTAGTCAGCTGATAGTGAATTCATAGGCGTGCGGCCACCACTACGTCGCGGACATGTCTCACAAGCGATTAATTAGTAGTCAGCTGATAGTGAATTCATAGGCGTGCGGCCACCACTACGTCGCGGACATGTCTCACAAGCGATTAATTAGTAGTCAGCTGATAGTGAATTCATAGGCGTGCGGCCACCACTACGTCGCGGACATGTCTCACAAGCGATTAATTAGTAGTCAGCTGATAGTGAATTCATAGGCGTGCGGCCACCACTACGTCGCGGACATGTCTCACAAGCGATTAATTAGTAGTCAGCTGATAGTGAATTCATAGGCGTGCGGCCACCACTACGTCGCGGACATGTCTCACAAGCGATTAATTAGTAGTCAGCTGATAGTGAATTCATAGGCGTGCGGCCACCACTACGTCGCGGACATGTCTCACAAGCGATTCATTAGTAGTCAGCTGATAGTGAATTCATAGGCGTGCGGCCACCACTACGTCGCGGACATGTCTCACAAGCTCGCAAACTACGTCCTCAACAACCCGCCCGACGCTAAGGGCGGCATCGTCCAGGCGCGAGATCGCCTGAGATTGCGCGAGGCTGTCCGAGAGTGCCCCCGACCCGGGCATCATCGCAGGGGGGAGATGCCGCCGAGATGCCGCCGAGATGCCGCCGAGATGCCGCCGAGATGCCGCCGAGATGCCGCCGAGACGCGGCCGAGGGGCATGCCGTGTGTGGTGTGTGTGGTGTGTGTAGACCAGCCTGCGCGTTGGCGGCACTTGCGACGGGCTAGCAGGCCGGGAGAGAGGCTGGCGCGGGTGGAGGAGAGAGGCTGGCGCGGGTGGCGGCACGCCTTCTTTGCCACAAGTGTCGCACCTCTTTAGGGCGGCGGGAACGCGAGCAAGGGCAAGAGCAAGGAGGACCGGCGCAAGGAGAAGGCGGCGAGGCAAAAGGGGGGCGGCGCTGCCGAGGAGGAGGAGGAGGAGGAGGCGGACGACACAAACGTGAGGCAGATAGATTGGTTAGTTGATAAACTAGTGCATAGTCCGTTACTCATCAGAGGTGAGGCATGCTGGGGAGGACCAGCGGGAGGACAGCGAGGAGTCATTGGTTCACTAGTGAAGAGTCCGCGTTACTGATCAATACTCAGCATCAAGCCACCCCCCTCCCCTCAGGCGCCCGCCAATGAGTCATTCATCAATACGTTGATTAGCAAGTCGTACTCTTAGGGTTGATACGTGGGTTACTAATGGGTACTCCTAGGTCCCAGCCAATGAGCTGAAGGAGCGCGCCGTCGGCAGCTTCGCGGAGCAGGGGGGGGAGGAGGAGGACGAGGACCAGGAGTGGTCCGTCGACACTTCTGCGGACGCCGTCGCCGCGCGACTCAGGGCGCGGCGACGCCTGGCTGCTTCAAGCTGGCTCCCGGCGGGGAGGCGGCGAGTGAGTCTCCCCCGCTGGTTGTGATGAGTCAGGTGCAGGAGCTCTACAATCTCCCCATATCTCCCCACATCTCCCCATATCTCGCTGGTTGTGATGAGTCAGGTGCAGGAGGCGGCGTACTCGAAGGTGGAGGCGGCCGAGCAGGGCATCAGCGACAAGAAGGCGAGCCAAGGGGGGGGGAGGGAGAGCGACGAGCTTGGTGTTTCGTCAGTCACTGGGGGCTTGGTGATGAGTCCACACAGGGTAGGGAGGAGGAGGAGGAGGGGGCTAGGTGAGTCCGATGTGAGAGCTGCAGCTCACTGAGCGATTGGCGACCAGGCGATGACGGAGGAGATATGGGGAGATATGGGGAGATGTGGGGAGATGTTGGCTTCCAGGCGATGACGGAGGAGATATGGGGAGATATGGGGAGATGTGGGGAGATGTTGGCTTCCAGGCGATGAAGGAGGAGATATGGGGAGATATGGGGAGATGTGGGGAGATGTTGGCTCCCAGGCGATGAAGGAGGAGATATGGGGAGATATGGGGAGATGTGGGGAGATGTTGGCTACCAGGCGATGAAGGAGGAGGGGCTCGACGAGTTTGAGATCGAGAAGCGGAAGATCGGCGACGAGGTTGGTCGCTCTCGCGGAGGAGGAGTCCCTCATTCTCAACCCACGGCCACTCGTCAGAGATGAGTGTGACAGGTGCGCGCGGCGCGGAGGAGTGACTCACTATTACTCACCTCTTACTCAGCGGGCACTCGCCAACGGCTCTTGGTGCAGGTCCGCGCGGCGCTCGAGAAGTCGGAGGCGGAGGAGGACGCAAAGGCGCGCGTCGCCGTCGGCGTGAAGGCTCTGATGGAGGCAGCCGAGAGCAGCGCGAGCTGGCGCGCCTTCCTCCGCTCACCGCGTCACTGTGCGGAGTCGCTGTTTCGGCAGGTCGCCGAGAAGCGCGAGCTCCAGCCGCTCGACCTCTTTGGCCCTCCCGCTGACGGCGGTGTGTTGCAGCGTCTCTTCTCCCGTCGCGGAGTCCGACTGCTGCTCCCGCGTAGGTGTCCCGCTGACGGCGGGCCGGCCGCTGTTCGTCTCCCCGTTGCCCACTCAGACTGCCGCCCCCCCGCAGGCTTCCTCTTTGACGGCGTGCTGGATGCGGCCGCTGTCACGACCCTCAAGGCGCATACGCGGCTGCTGCAGAAGCTCTACAAGGCCGTAGTTGTGAGCGGCTCTACAAGGCCGTATTGGTCATTCAGGCGCACATGCGGCTGCTGCAGAAGCTCTACAAGGCCGTAGTTGTGAGCGGCGAGCTATTGGTCATTCAGGCGCACACGCGGCTGCTGCAGAAGCTCTACAAGGCCGTAGTTGTGAGCGGCGAGCTGTTGGTCATTCAGGCGCACATGCGGCTGCTGCAGAAGCTCTACAAGGCCGTAGTTGTGAGCGGCGAGCTATTGGTCATTCAGGCGCACATGCGGCTGCTGCAGAAGCTCTACAAGGCCGTAGTTGTGAGCGGCGAGCTATTGGTCATTCAGGCGCACATGCGGCTGCTGCAGAAGCTCTACAAGGCCTTACCGAGGAGACAAGGCTCTGCTTGCCCGACTAGTCGGTTGAGCGGTGAGTGTCCATCAGGCGACGCGCGACAGGATAACTCTCTCCCCAGATCTCCCCAGATCTCCCCAGATCTCGCCCTGAGCTCCTCAGGCGACGCCCGACAAGAAGAAGACGCAGTCCTTCCTCCTCAAGCAGATCGAGGCGCGAGACACGGGCGGCCGCGTGCCGGAGCTGTGAACAGCGTCTCTTCACACCTGCAGGCTGTGAACAGGCGCTCGTGGGCCGCGTGCCGGAGCTGGAGAAGAAGGCTCGCGCCCAACCTCAAGTTGGAGCACCGACGACGACATCGGACGAGCCCCCTCGTCATGGCTGCTCTGAGCCTCCCTAGGCGCAGTCTGATTGGACACTCTCGCACAATGCAGTGCTCTCATCGAACGCTTCTGTGGCGCAGGTGCCGACCCTGCTCAAGCTGCTGTACGACGCGGACATCCTCGACGACGAGGACGTGCTCTTCAAGTGGTTAATAATTAATTAATGAATTAATAATAATTATTAGGACATCCTCGACGACGAGGACGTGCTCTTCAAGTGGTTAATAATTAATTAATGAATTAATAATAATTATTAGGACATCCTCGACGACGAGGACGTGCTCTTCAAGTGGTTAATAATTAATTAATGAATTAATAATAATTATTAGGACATCCTCGACGACGAGGACGTGCTCTTCAAGTGGTTAATAATTAATTAATGAATTAATAATAATTATTAGGACATCCTCGACGACGAGGACGTGCTCTTCAAGTGGCACGAGAAGGCGCCGAACACGACGCCCGGCCCCGGCTGCATCTCGGCTGCATCCCGGCTGTATCTCGGCTGGACACCTCGCCGTAGGAGTCGAAGAAGAAGCTGGGCCGCAAGGCGCCCCCCCCCCCCACCTCTCCGCCATCCCTCGCCCACATCGCGGCAATCTCTCGGCCTGTCTCTCGGCCTGTCTCTCGGCCTGTCTCTCGGCTGTATCTCGGCCTGTATCTCGGCTGTATCTCGTGGGAGTCGTCACTCTCACCGGCCGTGCCTCGAGATATGGGGAGATATGGGGAGATGTATATCTCACCGGCTGGGCCGCGCGCCGTATTCCTTTTCGCGACTCGAAGGGCTGAAGCACCCCGTGACTGAGTCGTGCCCAGGTGCGCGAGGCGGCGGCCCCATATCTCCCCACATCTCCCCATATCTCCCCATCTCTCAGGTGCGCGAGGCGGCGGCCCCCTTCATCACGTGGCTCAAGGAGGCGGACGACGAGTCGGAGGAGGAGTCGGACTGACGCCGCTGCCATTTCTTTTTACGTGGTTTTTTTTCTTTTTGAAGGCGGACGACGAGTCGGAGGAGGAGTCGGACTGACGCCGCCGCCGCACGGCAAGCTGCGCCCGTTTCCCGTGCACGTGCCCTGCTCGTGCCCTGGACGTGTCCTGGACGTGTCCGCGGACTCGCGCGCCTCCGCCGGCCGAGAGTGGCTGGCCATGGACCGCCGGTTGGCTAGTAGAGGCACCGGGCGCGGCGGCGGCGGCGGATGCACCGCCTTCTCTGCTGCGCCCGGCACGCGTGGGCCGCTGTCGAGGATGCCCGCCGCGGCGACGCCCCATCACCCGTTTCAGGAGGAGAAGTTGCAGAGCGTATGAGGTAGGAGTCCAGAGGAGTAGAGGGTGTCGGGGGCGTATCTTGCTATGTCTACGTCACTGCAAACACTGGATGACGCAACACTTTTTGCACATGCATGTTTGATTGTGGTGTCCCGCCGGCACACATCCCACATGCGGCTGTGCGCGCGGGCGGGGGGTCGGAGAGGGTCACACCGCCTCGACACATCACAGTGTCAGGGGCGCGCTGGGCGCTTGCGGTGCCAGCCGCGCTACCCAAGCCACACGCCTATCTAATCTTTCGTGACTCCGTGCACCAGGCCCACCACCCACCACGCACCACAAGCACCACGCACCAGCCTCCAGCGACCAGCGTGACCAGACCGCATTGCATGTGGCCCTAGGCCCTAGGGAACACACAGACATGCCACGTATGGGAAGGATATTCTTTTGCGGGGCGCCTTCGCTCGAGAACTACAGGTCCAAAGTGCAGACGACAGCGCACATGGAAGCGTTCAGAATGGCTGTGTCGTGTGGGCCTGTGGCAGGACGGCCGCACTGCCACTGGGTCCCGGCGGGCGGGGCTCTCGCTGTGAATGCCATAGCAAAATTTAGCGGCTGTGTCGCACATGCGCACGGGCCAGATTGATTCACGAGATTGTGCAGCAACAACTCTTCTCCTTGCTCGGCACACTTGCCTCCTCCTCGACGCTCAACACTGGCCGCGAAAACTGCCACCAGGGCGTCGATTTGCGACCGGCGTCCTCTTCTGACGCCGCGGGCGGCAAGCCGGTCTGCTGACGCTGGATCGGCATGCGCCCTCGGCAACGTGAGCCAAGCCCCTGCGGAAGCTCACTCACGGAGCAAGCGCGATCGCCAATAAACTCTGAAACTCGCAAAAGCCGACCGACTCCAAAAAGAAAGCCAGGCAGTTGATTTGGCCCTAGCGCCTCGGACGCCAAGCGGAAACGGCGTTCCGAGGCGGGGCGCGGTGGCGATCACCGGTCGGCGCCTGCGCGGCCGGCCGGCCCGGTGGGTCGCCACGGCACATGCGCCGCGCGCCGTCGCCAGGCCCCGCCGCCGCCCCGCCAGAGCAGCGGCGAGATGGGAGGCGGTCGGCGGGTGACATCGGCTCTTCGAGCGAGCTTTCAGCTCACTTTGACGACGCTAGGAAAATCAATTCGTGGAATCCAGTTCGAGAAAGATGCAGTGAGGCGGAGCCTACCCTGCGCCGCTTTCCTCCCAGCCTACACACACACCCTGAGAGCCGTATTTCCCGGCCGCGCAGCGCGCAACTCCGCACATGGAGTTCTGTTACTTTTTCGCTCTGTCCTGCCGCGTGGAAACAGTAACGGTGTGAGTCGCGCGCTCCGTCGCGCCCTGCGGGCCAAATACACCAACAGACTGATGCGAGTATCAGCTGGAGCGGTGTTACCCGACCACCTTGGTTTCATCGCGCGCGCGGCGAGCGGCCGCCGGCTATGCGGCGGCCGGCGTTCGCCTTGACAGACGCAGCGTTGACCACCTGCCGCATGCCTCGGGCGCCGGCGGTGCGCTCGCGCCGCCCACGCTCGATCCTCTGGATACGCACCGCCGCCTCCTGTCGCGAGACGTACATCGCGCGCCGAAACTCGCGCCACAGGCCCTCGAACGCCTCGCCGTAGCGGCGCACGTGGTACGGGTCGTCGGTGATGAGCATGTTTTCGCAGTTGACGTTGCCCGCGGACCAGCTGAAGTTGTACGACCCAGTGAGCAGTATCTGGCCGTCCACGAGGCAAAACTTGTGATGCATGTGCCGCGGCGTCGAGCCGGAGCGACGCATGGACCCGTCCTCTGCCGTCCTCCACTCCTCGAAGTCTGAGTCCACCACCGTTGCGACCCCCGCTTCGGCGAGCTCAAAGACGAGTGACCCGTCGTTCATCGCAGTCACATCGTCTGTGATTAGCCGCACCGCCGCGCCGCGCTTGTGCGCATCGAGGACCGTGTCGGCGATGCGCCGGTCCGAGAGAGTAAAGACGCACACGTCGAGGGTGTGGCGCGCCGTCGCCAGCACGCCGCACAACTCCTCCCGCGCCGCGACCGAAGGGAAGAAGAGCGTCGCTGCGGCGGCGGAGGGAGGCATCAGCAGATCGCTCTCGAGAGTCGCGGCCAGCGAGCCAAGCGACGACAGGAGCGCCGCCATCTCCGCCGCCGCGCCGCGCCGCCGTCCTCGCCGCCGCATCAGCTCGCAGCACTCCTCGGTGGCGGTGTGCAGCAGCCAGCGCGCCTGGCCGAGATGAGCCGAGATGAGCCGAGATGAGCCGAGATTGCCCGAGATTGGCCGAGACTCGTTCAGTTGGCGGTGTGCAGCAGCCGGTGCGCCTGCACCGGCCGCAAGTTAAGCCGCTGCAGCAACGCGCGGCAAGCGCCGAGCGACAAGCGGCCGGACGGGGCCTGGGCGAGCAACTGGGAGAGAGCCGCCGCGACCTTCTCCTCGGCTGTCCCCTGGGACGACTGGGCGCGCCCCATCGCCGGAGGGAGGCGGGCGGCGCGCCTACGCGACATGTCTCGGACATGTCGTGGACGTGTCCCGGACATGTCGCGAGGGGGCGGGCGGCGCGCCCTCGCAGCGCCGCCTGCAGCTTGGTCGCCGCCGCCGCGGTCGAGACTGGGTTTGAGCGCGAGAAGGCCGCGTGGAGCCGTTCGAACTCGGCGCTGTACGCGGACACCTAACAGATCGCTGCCTTCGTGCTAGCAGCGGGCGCTCCATTCGTCAGTTGCTGATGAACGCGCGGACACCAGCTTCGGCTCCGAAGAGACGAGGATGTTTTCGCAGTTGCGAGAGCTCGCGGCGCCCGTCCAGTTGAAGGAGCCGGTGGCGAGGATGCGGTGGTCCACAACGCAAAACTTGTGGTGCATCCGCTTCTCGCGCTCCCCCTCCGCCTTCCGCCCGTTGGCGCCCTCGTGAAGCGGCTCGTCGACGACCGTGTAGGCGAAGGCCGCCGTCTTGAAGATCGCGGCGCCCTTGTTGAAGGCCTGTCGCGGACGTGTCGTGGACGTGTCGCGGACGTGTCGCGGACGTGTTGCGGACGTGTCGCGGACTTGCGCACAGGGGAAGGAGGAGAGGGACAGGGGAAGGGAGGAAGGGGAAGGGAGGAAGGGGAGAGGGGTGGGGGGGGGGAAGGAGAGGGGAGGGAGGAGAGGGGAGGGAAGTGCCTGGTCCTCGTCCGACACAATCCGCACCGCGACGCCCGCCGCGGCCTAATCAATGATTATTTCGGACCTCACCCAATCAAGTACTACTGGAGACCCGCACACGCCACGCCCGCCGCGGCCTTCTCGCGAAGGGCCGCCACAAGCCGCTCCTCCGTCACGCAGTACACGCACACGTCAATCGAGAACTTTGCGCGCCGCAGCAGCGCCAGCAGCCGCTCGAGGGCCGAAGCGTGCGGGAAGAAGAGGGCGTCGCGAAACGTCGGCCGCGGCACGAGGCACAGCCGCTGCACCGCCTACTTATTAATTCACTGGGCGCCTGATTAATAATTAATTAAGAATGAGGCACAGCCGCTGCACCGCCTCGAGCAAGCGCCCCGCGGCCTCGAGCCTCGCCGCACACTCCTTTGGGTCTTAGCAATACTTGAGTCAACCACCAAGAATAGGCGAAGGCGTGACTGATTCATGAAGCGCGCTCCTTTGGGTCGGCGGCTGCGGCGGGGCTCTCCTCGGCGATGGCGCCTAATGGTTGATGAAGCAGGCGAGGTCTTAGACAATGATTCACTTGGCTGCGGCGGGGCTCTCCTCGGCGATGGCGCCTAATGGTTGATGAAGCAGGCGAGGTCTTAGACAATGATTCACAAGCTGTGGCGGGGCTCTCCTCGGCGATGGCGCCGCCCGGGCTGCGCGGGCCAGGGCTGCGAGGCTCGCCTGCGTGAAGAGTACGCCAGCCTCGGGGGCGGGAATGTTGTGCAGTGTCTTCCGAGCGCTGTGTGAGTACGAGGGAGGAGAATGCAGCGGCATACAGCCGAATACGCTCGAGCACAGTTGAGCCCGAGTCCCGCCTCGAGGCGCGGGTTGAAGGACAGGAATGCCGTCTCTCGCGCTTCTAGGCTGACGTGCTGCCAGATATGGGGGAGATACAGGAGAGATATGGGGAGATCTCGCGCTTCTAGCGGCTCGCTGCTCGTCCCCTTCATGACGATGGCGGCCCAGCCGCGCCGCGCCTAATTAACCAATAACTGACGTCTTTTAATTCATTCATTCCTGAACGACTGCGGCCCAGCCGCCGCCGCGCCTCGGCCGCCGCCGGCGCCATCTCCGGCGAAGTGGGGGGAGTGGCAAAAGCCTCGTCGGTGCCGTCGCCAGAGAGCCGCTCGGAGGGGGCGGCGGAGGAGGAGGCGGAGGGGGCGGCGGAGGAGGCGGAGGAGGGGGCGACGGAGGGGGCGACGGAGGGGTTGGCGGTGGGGGAGGCGGAGGGGGAGGTGGAGGCGGCGGAGGCGGCGGAGGCGGAGGCGCGAGGCGAGGTGAGGATGCTGCCGCCTCCCGGCAGCGGCTGGCGCTCCGCGAGGCGGCAGATCGAGGCGCGCATCGCCGCCGCCTGCTGCGCCGTCGCGGGAGGGAGACGCTCCAGCAGCCTAATCAGTTCTTAATTCACCAGTCATGACTCGCATTCCCTCGGAGGGGGAGGCTGCAGCAGCCCTACGTGTGTGAAGAGGCCGACGTCAGGGGGGGGGCTGGGAAGAGAGTACTGTGCCGTGTCTTCGCAGCACCGCGTGAGCACAGCGAGTGCAGCGGAGTGCGGTCGGATGCGGCGGAGTCCGTGTCCTCTCGAGCGCTGGTTGGGAGACAAGAGCACGCGCCTTCCGTCTAAAGACGCCGCTTCTGCTCGCGAGATATGGGGAGATACGGGGGGAGATGTGGGGAGATCTTCCGTTTCTAGGCCCCGGCAGCCTCTCGAAGGCCGCGAGCGAGCGGACGAGCGGGGAGGTAGCGGCGCCGAGGCCTGCAGAGAGGGCGGAGGGTGGTGCACGCTTCGGGAGGGCAAGGAAGGATGCCAAGGGGAGGGCAGGGAGGAGGCCAAGGGGAGGGAGAGGGGGGGGGGAGTAGAGTGTGGGAGGGAGCGGGGGGGAGGAGGCCAAGGGGAGGGAGGGGGGGGGGGAGTAGAGTGTGGGAGGGAGCGGGGGGGAGGAGGCCACAAGCAGGGAGGGGGGGGGGGGGGGGGGGAGTAAATTGGTTAAGTGAGCGGGGGAGGAGCGAGGCCAAGGGGAGGGAAGGGGGGGGGGGCCGGGGAACGGAGGGGAGGCCGGCGCGGAAACCGCCTGGCGGCAGCGCGGCTTCCCCCGACAAGTCCAGCTCCGGCACCTGCGGCGCCAGCAGAATGGATCAGTTGATGGTCCGTCAAACAACTCAATCGCTCCTCCCCCGACAGCCTCGGCGCCTGCAGCAAGGACTGGTCGTGCCCCGCCGCCGCCAGCACCGCGCCCGCCGCCGCCTCGAACCCCAAGGAGTCCGCTTTCAATCCACTGATTTCAGACCTCGCCTGCTTAATTAACTAATTCAGACCTCGAACCCCTCCGGAAGCGCCGCGCGCGCCCGCTCCGTCTGTCTCGCGGCGAGCCTGTTCACAGCTCTCTGTCTCCGTTCACAGCTCCCTGTTAGCTCCGTCTGTCTCGCGGCGAGCCTGTTCACAGCTCTCTGTCTCCGCCTCCCTCCATTCTGCGTTGCGCCCGCTCCGCCTCCCGCGCTGCTGCGGGCCGGGTGGCAGCCTTGACTGCCGCGAGGCCGCCCGGTGTCGCAGCCTTTGCCGCCTCCCTCTCCTGGTTAATGAGGATGGTAGTTGATTAAGTATGTGCCGCCGGGTGTCGCAGCCTTGGCCGCCTCCCTCTCCTGGACCGCAAACAGCCGAGATCTCCCGAGATCACGCGAGATCACCCGAGATCACCCGAGATCTGGACCCGCCAAGATCACCCGAGATCGAGACCGACCGAGCCTGGCCGAGGTCGGCCCCACCTCTCGCACGCAGCCGAGATCACCCGAGATCTGGACCCGCCGAGATGGCCCGAGACCAGCCGAGATCACCCGAGATCTGGACCCGCCGAGGTTGGCCCCTCCCTCTCCTGGATCGCGATCAGCCGCTCACGCGATGAGACGTGCTCCTACAGGAAGGTTCCAGGAAAGGTCTTGGAAAGGTCCGAGAAGTAGCCAAAGGCGACGAGGCGCGCTCCAGCTTCGGCTTCTCGGCCGCAGCGAGGGCGTCGAGGCGGCGCTGCAGCTGCTCGGGCATGGCGGTGTTGCTCGCACGTAGTGAGAGTAGAAAGGAGACGTTGTACATCCGCTTCCCCCCGCCGCCGCATGCCTCCTCCGCCGCCGCAGCCTCCGGAACCGGAGGCGCAGCTGCTGGCGGTTGGGAGGCGGCGAGGGCGGGACCAACGCCGAGGCCGGGAGGCAGCGAGGAGATCGGCGACGAGGACGGAGCGGGCTGCCGCGGAGAAGTGTCTGGGAAGTGTCTCTGAAGTGTCTCGGAAGTAGGGGCTCCGTGCTGCCGCGGAGAAGCGGGCGGCTGCGGCGGCGGCGGCGGCGGCGTCGGCGGTTCCGTGGCCGGCGCCTCTCCCTCTGCCGCTGCCGGCGGCGGTGGGGGCGCAGCGGCGAGAGCCTTTGACGGGGACTCGGCCTCCACTGGTGTGTCCGGTCGGAGAGCGGGTGGCGAGCAGGGCGGCGAGGAGAGGTGGGGCCCAGCAGGAGCCGGGCTAGGGCAGCGCGAGCGGCGTCGCTTGACGGCGGTCGGCGGCGACATAAGAGACCCATCTCGGCCTGTTGCTGCTTCTGACGCCGACATGCGCTCTCTGGAGGGTTTAGTGTCCGCCTGAGGTGGCGGCACGGCTCTCCTGAGCAGGCCACGTGGGACGTAGGTGGCCACCATCAGAAGGAGAACGAGCAGCGCCGTCAAGGCGATGAGAAGCGGCGGGATGTCGGGATTGAGCATTCGGGGTTGTGGGCGCTGGCGGGCGCTCAGTAAGACTTGAAAAAGAAAAATGTTTTTCTGATTGCCGAATCAGCATGTCACTCGTCGTCTCTCTGCTCCTCGCTCGGCCGGGCGGCGACTCGGGTGGTGCAGAGGCGCCGCCGCTGCGCGTGCGTGCGTACGAGGCGGCGCTGGAGCACGCCTGCCGTCGCCGCCACGGCCCGACGCCCGGGGCCGTACGTCGAGTCGGACAAACATTTGGCGAGAGCCAACCGAGCATCTTCACCGAGCATCATCGGAACGACCCGCTCTCCTGCAACGAGCCGCGAGGGGAGAGGCCATAAGCGCGTTCGCCGCCGCCGGACTCGTCGCCGCCTGCCTCGCGGTCTCCGCCCTCGCCGCTGCCATTGGTGCGCGCCACGCCCACCGCGCCTGGACTTGGGCTGCGGCCGGGGCGGTGGTGGCGATAGCCGCAGCCGCCATAGCGCTAAAGCGACGATGGCATCACCACACCTCGGGTGCGCCGGACCCACCGTCGCTATCGCTACCGCCATCGCCGCCTGGCGGGGGGGGCGGAGCCCCCGAGCCGGGACGGGGAGTGGTACGACGCACATCGCCGAGGTTACAGGAGTTGGCGCCCCGGCCGACGCGGGCAGAGTCGCCGCTGCCCGCAGCGCCCAAACGCAAGGCGCCGCGGAGCAAGTTGGCCCCTCCGACGGCCGGCGTCGCGGCGAGGGGCGCACCACAAGTCTCGCCGAGGAAGTGCCCTGCCTGCGACGAGATGATCACGCCCGAGCGGCAGACAGACTATATGTGGCGTAAGGCGCTGGCGCAACACCTGAACGGGCCGGCTCATGGCATGGCGATGGCTCCGTACGGAAAAAGAAAAAACCAACTCTCCGACCAAATCTGACAGGGCGATGGCGCATCACACTCCTCTCCTTAAAATCCCTGCGTGGTGACGTAGGTAGAGGCCGTAGAGGTCCTGACCTTCTCTCCTTAAAATCCCTACGTAGAGGTCCTGACCTCGGACTGACTACTCACCATGATGGCCTGCGCTGCATGGAGAGGTCCTCAGGGAGAGGTCCTCAGGCCGTCAGCGAGCTCACTTGATCTCCCCCGATGGGCTTTTAGCTACGACGCCTACGACGCAACACCACAAACCTGACAGCAGCCGCGTGTTTGTTGTTCGTACAAAGCCCCAGCTCGAGGTGGGCGGTGGCGGCCAACGTCGTGGACTGATGTGGTGTTGCTGTGCATAAATGTGTCTGTGGGGAGAGAGAAGATGTTTTAGTCACTTTTCCCTGATGTGCATCCCTTGCATCCTGTTGGCCTCCCAACTCGATGTCCCTTATTGCTTATAGACGTCCCTGTTTTGAGGGTGGTGCCCCTCCAGTGGGAGTCTTTCTTGACGCCGCGGCCGACACAGGACGCTGATCTAGCTGGAGCAAAAAAGAAATTCGCCGAGCTAAAAAACCAGAAAATATTCACTGAGAGGTTGATAGTAAAGTACCACCAACCACTTCCGGAGATGCTTGTGGCGGCTGTGCACACAACCACTTCAACAAATGTTGATGTTAAAAGATACCATTTCTGAGAGAAATTCATTTCCGTGCTTTGACCCGACAGGCGAGAGAGCTAGGCGCTCTCAGCGGCCCATGATTCACACACCCCAAGTACTGGTGAGTGAGCGGCGCGCAAGGCTGTAGTTGTCGCACACCACCTCCTCTTCCCCACTCTCGTTTTCGAGGATGCTCGCTCGAGAGGTCCTCACCAGAGGTCCTCACGAGAGGTCCTCGGGAGGCATCATGCTAAGCGCGTTGTCACCCCGAGAGCCCAGCTCTGACTGAGCCGAGAGCACCTGACGCGACGGCCTTCGATCCAGAGCCCAACCGATGACAAAACACTACTCGACAGGGCATGCCGACAGGTCCGATCAACACAAGCGGAGCAGGAGCGAGGTCCTCATGATGGAGAGGTCCTCAGCGGAGAGGTCCTCAGGCCGTCAGCGACCAAGCTCACCGGATCTCCCCCATGGGCCCAGCAGTTAAGGGGAAACCCGGTACACGGAGCCCTCTCGGAGACCCGTGTTTACTGTACGCCCTTTTCCCTGCGAACGCGCACCCCCGGGGCTCAGGGGCTCTCTAGCCCGCGTAACCCGATACCGATCATCCGGCCGCCGGCCCGCTGGGTGCGCTTCTCAGCTCCCCGGCCCTGGATGTGAGGTTAATGACTGCACTCCAAGTGCTCCAAGTGCTCCATATACTCGCACAACATGCCGCGCGCGGTCGCGTCATGGCGATATGGCGGGGGGTGCGCGGCGCCGCGCACACGGATCGCACACACACGTGCGTGCGCACCCACATACGAGTCGACTCCACAAGTCACACCAACGTACAGCAACGAATCGTACATTGCATCATCTGCGAGGGGGCTCTATGTAGAGAGGTGCGCAAAAGTCCCCACCGCCCCGCTCGCTCGCGCACGTGCGCCCGCCGCTCTCGACTTGCGCCAGCCTCGATGCTACGCCGGCTCAAACGCGAACTTGACAAACTTGTCGGCGTGGCCTTGCTTCATGCCCACGCTCTCCGCCACCGTGGCGCGCTCCGCCGCGTCCATCGTCCGCAAGTAGCGGAGGTCATCATAGCCCTGCTCCTCGAACGCCGCCGCGTACCGGCCCAGCCCGACCCCCTCGAGAGCCTGCACCACCGCCGGCATCCCGAGGGGCGGGAGGGGCTCTGCCGCCGGCATGCCGAGGGGCGGAAGCTCGGTCGCCGGGCCGCCCTGGCGCGGCGCAACGCGCGACGCACACCACGCCAGCAGCGCCGCGCACACCGCGCCGTCCTCGTCCGCCAAGTTGGAGGCGGGCTCCCAGGAGGGGGCATAGCAACCCTTCCACGCGACGAGGTACTCGACGCCGCCGCTCGGCCGGCGCCGCTCCGAGAGGATGCGGTCCACCTCGAACTCGGCCGCAGAGGCGGCGGCGGTGGAGGAGGCGGCGGCGGAGTGGGAGGTGGCAGCTGAGGCGGAAGTGGCGGCGCCGCCCGCGCCGGTCTCGACCTTCTGCCGCTTGCGGGGCGCGGTGCTGGCCTGCGGCGCTGATCTGGCTGCAGACCTGGCCGCCAGCTCAGCCTTGCCCTCTACCGAGCGCGCGTAGCGGAGGGCCGCCTCCTCCGCAGTGGCGTAGCGGCCGAGAGTGACGGTTGTGCCCTTGCGCCAAACTTGGACATAGTAGGGCGTGGCACCGTTGTTCAGCTTGCTCACGCACTTGAAGCCCGAGTTGCTCCGCTCGCTGGTGATGAGCTCGACGCCATCAAAGAGCACTGGCGGCGCGGCGGCAGGGAGTGGCGCGGCGCGCTTGGCGGGGCGAGGCGTCGGCGGAGCGTTCCTTGCCGCCAGGTCGGCGATGCCCTCCGGCGTGGCAGCGTAGACTCGCGCCGCCTCCTCTGCGGTGGAGTAGTAGCCGAGAGTGACGGTGGTGCCTCCGCGCTGCACCGAGACTCGGTAGGGCGTGGCACCGCTGCCCACTTTGCTCACGCCCTTGAAGCCCGTGCTGCTCCGCTCGCTCCTGATTAGCTCGCTGCTGCTGAGCTCGGAGTTGGAGGGGAGCTGCGGCTGTGGCGGCGGTGGCGGCGCATCCCTTGCCGCCAGGTCAGCAATGCCCTCCGGCGTCGCCGCGTAGGCCCGCGCCCCCTCCTCCGCGGTGGCGTAGCTGCCGAGAATGACGGTCTTGCCCTTGCGGGACACTTGGACACTGTAGGGCGTGGCACCGCTACTCGTTTTGCTCACGCACTTGAAGCCCGTCTTGCTCCGCTCGCTCCTGATCAGCTCGCTGCTGCTGAGCTCGGAGTTGAGCTGCGATTCTGTCCCCGGACCTGGCGCCGTCGCATCCGCCGGCTCCGCCACTGCCAACTCCGCACCCTTCTCCAGCCCGGCCGGCGGCGGCGGTGCTGCTTCTGTCGCCTCCGCCACCTCTGCGCCCCCCGCCGCCGCCCCGTCCGCACCTGGTGGCGCTGCGAGGCCGCAGATGCCGAGGTCCCACTTGATGATCACTGAGGTCCCCGCTTTGATCTTAGTGAAGCGGGACGTGTGCTCGCTGCACGCACACGGCATGGGCAGCTTGAGGACGGTCCCGGCGGGGTAGTCGGCAGGGAGCGTGAGGCGCAGCTTGGCGATCTGCGGCGCGTTCGCGTCCTCGCGGTCGTACGCACGCTCCCAAGGCAGGTCGCGCGGGAGCAGCACGAAATTCGCGGGCGCCATCGCCCTGTCAAACAAGAAAGAAAGAATTTAAAGAATTTTACAACAAAACTCCCTCGCACAACACTGGGCACAGGACTGGGCACGGGACTGGCTCGCACTGGCACGAACACAGGTACACCACGGGAGCCGCCTAAGCGACTCCTGCGAGGGTGGCGAGGCACTTAGCTCCGTGCACCCGCCCACCCCCGCCACAGGCAAGCTCATTCACGACCTGCTCTGCGATGGCCGTGTGAAGAACGACTGAGATGCGCTGCTTCTGCAGCCCCAGCCAGCTCTTGGTGGTCCAAGTCACCTCATCGAGGTACTGGGCCCGCGTCAGCTTGTTCTGTAGCACGTCCGCCGCTCTCCGGAGGATCTCACGGACCCCCTTTCCGAACCCGCCGAACGATTCGAACAGCAGCAGCTGCACTTCGACGCCCTTGTCTTCCCTGGCGTAGCGATAGTCCCCGCCGTAGTGCGCTGCCGCTCGGCTTCCTCCTCGGCCGCGAGTTCCTGCGTTCTCGTCGCGTCCATGTACTCGACCACGCCCTCCCTTCTCGGAATGCGGTAGAGGAGGGGCTCACCACTCGCCCCGACGCGCGCGGTACCGCCGGCCGCGCCGCCCGGCCGAGGGGAGCACGGCTCTCTGGGCGTCGGCCAGCCACCGTGCTGGCTGTGAGGCGACTCGGGGCGGGTCGGCGGGGAGGGAGGTGAAGGCGGCGGGGAGGCGAGGGGGGTGGAGGGAGGAAAGGGGGGAGGAAAGGGGAGAGGAAAGGGGGGGATGGCGGCGGCGGTGAGAGGCGGCCGGGGGGGATGGAGGGGGGAGAGGGTGGCGGCGGCGGTGGGAAGGAGAGGGTTGCCATTCGCGCCGCCCGCAACGGAAGCAGCGCAGCCGCCAGCAGCGCCGCACGCGACGTAGCCCCCAGCGCAGCTCGCGGCAGCGCCGCAAGAATGAAGGGTGGAGTCGTCCCGGATGCTCTCAGAGAGGCTGATACCGGGACAACAAAGAGAACAACGGAACGGCGGTGCCTCGCAGGAGGAGCAGTGGCGGCAGCGGGGGACAGAGACGGCAGAGGCAGGGGCGTCGGCAGCGGAGGTGGGGGCGGCGGAGGCAGAGGCAGAGGCGGAGGCACAGATGGTGGGCTGCTGCGCGGGCCGCTGCTCGGGCTGCTGTGCGGGCTGCTGCTCGGGCTGCTGCTCGGGCTGCTGCTCGGGCTGCTGCTCGGGCTGCTGCTCGGGCTGCTGCTCGGGCTGCTGCGAGGGCTGCTGCGAGGGCTGCTGCGAGGGCTGCTGCGAGGGCTGCTGCGAGGGCTGCTGCTCGGGCTGCTGCTCGGGCTGCTGCTCGGGCTGCTGCTCGGGCTGCTGCTCGGGCTGCTGCTCGGGCTGCTGCTCGGGCTGCTGCGAGGGCTGCTGCGAGGGCCCCTGCGAGGGCCCCTGCTCGGGCTGCTGCTGCTGTGAGGGCTGCTGCTCGGGCTGCTGCTCGGGCTGCTGCTCGGGCTGCTGCTCGGGCTGCTGCTCGGGCTGATTTAAAGAAAATGGCGTGCCACCCGCGGCGGCCATGAAATCTCCCGGGAAGATGACTCAGAGGAGGACGAACCAGTGGAAATTCAGTTGTCAGATGTCACGATGCATCCGAAGGGGACCCCAGCGCCGGCATCATCCGTAGAGGCACGAGTGTTCGAAGAGAGAGTGGACCTGAGCAACAACATGACGTGTAGGCAAATGATCGGAGTGGGAGTCAGAAATGTGGTCCTTGCGCGAGGGGAGCTTGATAGACTCGAGGGGCCAGGATACGCCGCGAGGAGGACGGAGTTGCGCAAGGCGAAAGAAGCCGCGAGAACAAGGGACCGGCAGGCGGCGGCGTCGCAGGACGTGGCAGAAGAGAACGACGCGACAGAGGAGGAAGTGACAAGGGAGAGACCGACGAGAGTGGGACGGCCGCGAGGTGGCATGAAGGTTGCAGCGAGAAGCGGCGAGAGACTGCGAAAAGAGATACGAAGAGGCAGACTCCCCAGGGTGGGCGACGGCTAGCGCATCACACTCCTCTCCTTAAAATCCCTGTGTGGTGGCGGCGTGCCGTTCTCCCATCCCTCCCTTGGGTTGTGTGTTTTCTTTCTTTCTTTGAAATCTCCCGGGGGGGATGGGAGAACGGCACGCCATGAAACCCGCGGCACGTGAGCCCGCGCCGTCCGCACGAGACCTCGAGAGGCCGAGTTTCTTGTTTTTCACGGACGACCCACGCCGGAACAGACCCGCGAGATGTACCTGCGTTTTATGTGTGGATAGTGCGTCTGTGGAATCTCTCTCGGTCTCGCACACAAAATCCGCGAACGAAGATGCGTCCGCCGCGACTTGAATGAACTCTACGCACCCTTGCCCATCGCGAAGAACCCCTCCTGGTCATCCTCCAGCAGCCGCGCCGCGAGCAGCGAGGCGCGGTCTCCCTCCCCGCCGCCCGCCGCCGCTCGGGCCGCCGACTCTCCGCCCGCAGCGCCCTGAAGCGCCTCGGCGAGGAGCGCGGCCGCCTCTTCCCGCCGCGCCTCCCAGCGGAGTGTGCGCAAGCACGCGGCGAGCTGCACCGCGCACTCGCGCTGCTCGCGCGGGCTTGTGGCCGACGGGTGCGCCTCCCCCACGATCCGCAGCCGCTCGGTCGCGCCGAGCGTGCGCACCTGCGTCGAGGCAGGGCTGTCAGGCTGCCGGGGGGCGTGGTGGCGCGGGATCGAGTGGTGCGCGCGCCGAGGTGATGCGGCTGGCTGCGAGGAGGGCGGGAGCTGTGTGGCCGGCGAGGAGAGAGGAAGAGGAAGAGGGAGAGGGAGGGAGAGGGAGGGAGAGGGAGAGAGGGAGAGAGGGAGAGAGAGAGAGAGGGAGAGAGAGCAGAGAGGAGAGGAGAGGAGAGAGGAGAGGTGTCTCGGCAGTGCCACGCACGACGTCGCCCGCCGCCGCGTGAACCGCGAGCAGGTTGCGCAGCATCCTGCTGCACCACATCGCCGGCGTCATCGGCCGCTGCCGCAGGCTGCGCAGCAGGATCCGGCCGCGCTGGAGGCCGCCGTCGACAGTGCGCCCGCCGAGCGCGTAGTCGAAGGTCATGCCCTTGCATGGCGAGGGGCGGCGGGCATGGCGGGTGCGGGAAGAGGGAGGGGGGCGGGCTCCCACACTTCGGAGCGCTGCCCACTACCTCTCGGCTACCCCCTCGAACCGCGTTGCGCGCCACCAGCTCCGCCGCGCCGTCCGCGTCAAGGATCGAGCCGCCTCCAAACGCGTCAACCACAAAGCCCAAGCTGCGGTCCGCGGGCGCTACCAGCAGGTGCGCCGGCGCATTCAGGCCCTGCAGTGGAGCGGCGGCGTCGGTATGGACGCCCGGCCTTGGGTAGGGGAGGGCGAGGCCCAGCCGCGCTGCTGGTGCGAGCCCGGCGCGTCGGCGGGGAGGCGCGTGTGTCGCTAGCAAGGGGTGCAGGGAAAGTGTCTCGGTCGTCCCTCACCACCATCGGTAGCCCGAGCCTCTCACAGCACTCGCAGTAGACGAGTCCCAGCGAGATGGGGATGCCGACCCTCCGCTGCAGCACCGCGTCGACAAACGAGTTGGCCGGATCGTAGTAATCGGCCTCGCTCGAGCCGGCGAAGAAGGCAGATCCGTCGTCGTCGGGCGCGCCAGAGCCAAAGAGCGTTGCGCCGACCGCCGCAGCGACTGCATGCTCGTCCGCAGCGCTTCCGACGAGCTCAGCGAGGCGCACACGCGTCGACGATCGCTCCGCGAGCTCGGCGATGCTCTGGTCAATATTCTCTCTTATCTCGCCGACATCCTCCTCGTGCCGCTCCTCAGCCGCGATCAGGACGGCGAGGTCGAACGCCCGCACTGGCTCCGGCGCGGCCAGGGCCGTAGTCAGCTTCTGCCTAGCCTCTGAGGCGGAGCGGAGCTCGGCAGAGAGGATGCTCACCGCGAGCATCAAAGTTTTTAGGAAGGCATGAAAAAATCACGACAAAGTTTTGCGGTGGTGGTCGGGCGCATGGAAAATGATGATGGAGTCCGGCCGCGGGTGACTAGGGAAGTTCGCTCAGGATGTGTGGCAGCCGCCCTGTTGGCTGAGTGTCTTGTCTTGTGGTTCTGTGTGTCGCTCCTGTGTGACCGTCATCGCCCGTCTACGGAAGGAGCCTCAGCGTCCCACTGAACGACGACGAGCTAGAAGAGGCCATGGAGGCAGTGTCAGTCGATGAAGACGACTATGAGGCGATGCTCGACGAGAGCATCTGCGAGCTCTTTCCCACGAGCGAGGAGCAGGAGGCCTTCACGGACGATGCGGTGGGCGAGATCTATCCGCTGGCCTGCTTCAAGCGCGGCGAGACGGATATCTCGAGGATTGCGGGAACGCACAACGATGAGGACCTAGGCCGCCGCCTATTCCAGGCGGAGGAGGCAGGGCTTCCCGTTGAGGCGGCATCAACGCCGCGCGGCATCAACGACACGTTTGACAGCTCGCTCGCCCGCTGCTCTTCTGCGGATCGGCCCACAAGCACACAGGACGCCGCCCCGCCATGTGTCGAGGTAGTGGTGGGAGGCTTGGGGCAAAAGGGCATCCTTGCCGACAACGGACTGGCCCTCACATGCTTCTCCCTCGTGACGGTGAGCCCGCCCCCTGAGACGGCGCTTGCGACCATGTGTGACTGGGCCAAGGTGAAGGAGCTTTGCCCGGAGAGCTGCGCTGTCGCGGACGAAGAGGCGGTAGAAAGAGCCGAGCTGGAGGAGGCGATCGGCATGCTGGAGCAAATGCAGCCCGCGAGCGAGGTTGAAGACGACGCCAGGACGGCAAAGTGGACGCGCGCAGAGGACCGACAGGGGCGCGACAGACGTCGACTCGACAAACCCAACTGCTGAACTTGGCCGAGCAGTTGGGCCAAAGCCTGTAAATCAGCCTGTATGTGACGCCTGGTCGGACGCCTGGTCGGACGGGGCAGAGGACCGGATGGGGCGCGAGAGACGTGGATGGTTTGGGGAGTACGGCGCTTGAAAAAGGCAAGCGAACCACCCCCCCACCACACACACACACACACTCACGAAGAAGCCGGTCATGGCAACGCCACAAAGTCTCGCACTCCCGGCTTCGACCGGCCCCCGCAAGATGCTCGCGGCAGCCCCACCCAACGACGCACACCTCAGCAGCGACGCACCTCAGTACCAGTCGAAGTACCCGCGACCCTCCAGTACCAGCGGCCTCACAGTGGCAGCGACCTCAGTATCAGCGACCACACAGTAGCGGCGGCCTTGATGCGAGCGACTTCAGTACCAGCCGTGCTCGCGCACCATGCGGTTGAACGCCTCCCTCGCCTCCGCCTCGGAGTAGTCGTCGCGCCTGTCCGATTAATAACTAATGATGAGCTATTCATTAGTAATCGCCCCGGAGTAGCCGCCGCGCCTGGTCGGGGCAGTGCCGCAACGCCTCGGCTGCATCTCTGCACACCTCTTGGTCTCTCGGCGGCATCTCTCTCTGTTTCGCCTGCTCGGGTCGATGCGGGCGCCGCCCGCGAGCATGTTCGTGCGGATGCCGAGGAGCACCTGAGATATGGGGAGATATGGGGAGATATGGGGTGATATGGGGCGAGCATGTTCGTGCGGATGCCGAGGAGCACCTGAGATAGGGGGAGATATGGGGAGATATGGGGTGATATGGGGCGAGCATGTTCGTGCGGATGCCGAGGAGCACCTGAGAGGAGTCCCACGCCCAACGATGGCTTGGCCAACGCCTCACCGGCGCCTCTGCGGGTGCGGGGGAAGAGCTCCCCATATCTCCCCATATCTCCCCATATCTCGGAGGCGCACCGACTCCATTGTCATGGTCTCCCCATATCTCCCCATATCTCCCCATATCTCCCCATATCTCGGAGGCGCACCGACTCCATTGTCATGGTCGGCGTCCAGCCTATGGCTGTTCTTCTCAACGTGAGTGGCAAGCATACACAGCTCATTCTTCCTCCTCGTGCGGCCGGGCCTTGGTTGGTCAGCATCTCAGTGCAGTGCCGAGATCTCCCCATCTCCCCCCATCTCTCCCCATATCCTGGGCCTTGGTTGGTCAGCATCTCAGTGCAGTGCCGAGATCTCCCCATCTCCCCCCATCTCTCCCTATATCCTGGGCCTTGGTTGGTCAGCATCTCAGTGCAGTGCCGAGATCTCCCCATCTCCCCCCATCTCTCCCTATCCTGGGCCTTGGTTGGTCAGCATCTCAGTGCAGTGCCGAGATCTCCCCATCTCCCCCCATATCTCCCTATATCCTGGGCCTTGGTTGGTCAGCATCTCAGTGCAGTGCCGAGATCTCCCCATCTCCCCCCATATCTCCCTATATCCTGGGCCTTGGTTGGTCAGCATCTCAGTGCAGATCGACCCCCCGATGGTGACGTGGCCTGTGAGAATGATTAACTAATTATGAATTAATTATGAATTAACTAAGAGCCCCCGATGGTGACGTGGCCTGTGGGAATGATTAACTAATTATGAATTAATTATGAATTAACTAAGAGCCCCCGATGGTGACTTGGCCTGTGCGGAAGGCGAAGCGCGGCCGCAGCACGCGCACATACGGCGGCGCCGACGGGAAGGAGGAGGGGAAGCGGACCGAGAGGACGACGCGTCTGCCCGGCACTCGCTTCAGGTCGGCTGCGAGGGGCGTGCCAGCCTGGTAGAGTAGTTGGTATGTACTTAGTGGTGGTGGTGGGGGTGGTGGGGGTGGTGGTGGTGGTGTTGCAGGTCGGCTGCGAGGGGCGTGCCAGCCTAGGAACGCTCATCATGGCCCCATCGCAATAATCACAATAATAATCATAATCATAATCATAACAATAATAACAATAGCGGTAGTAGTAGTAGTGGTAATAATAGTAACAATAATATTAGGCACGCTCATCATGAACCCCTCGCTGTGGCTGTCTCTCGGCTGTCTCTCGGCTGTCTCTCGGCCTCGAAGTTGAAGAACTCGACTTCCCAATGGTACGCGTCCGAGTCGTCCGGCACGGAGACAGAGATGCCTTGCCCGTGAGCGGTGTCGGACCGCTGCAGCGCCTGAAGCTCCCGCATGATCCGCTTGATGGCCCCTTGAGAGCCAGCCGCGCGACCGAACGCGCCGCCTCCGCCGCCTCCCCCTCCCCCCGCTCCCCCGCCTCGCTGCCGCTTCGAGGCTGGCTGGCCATGCCCCCGAGGCACCCCGCCTCCTCCTCCTCCTCCTCCTCCGCCGCCGCCGCCGCCGCCGCCTCCGCCTCCGCCGCTGCTGCTGCCAGCGGCGGAGTCGCTCTTGGACAGCTCCGTCACGTCGCGGATGGAGAGGGGCTTGCCGCAGGAAGGGCACCCGATGTCTGCAGCGAGCTTTTCGCCGAGCTCGGCGACGACGTGCGCCGCGAGGCAGCGGCGGTGGTGCCGCTGCCGGCAGCCCGACTGCCGGCATTCGTTCAGCACGTACGCCAGCGGGCCGCGCGGGACAAAGGTGCGACAGAGGACGCAGATGTGCTCCGGAGGGATGGCGGGCGGCGCGGGATCGGTGGCATTCGTCAGGTCGACGTCGGTGCGCGTGGCGGAGGCGGAGGCGGAGGCGCCGCTGGCGGAGGAGGAGGCGGAGGCGGCGGAGGAGGAGGCGGCCGCAGCGGTGGCGGAGGAGGCGGAGGACGAGGAGCCGGCGGAGGAGGAGGTGGGCGCGGTGCGGCGCGCCGTGGTACCGGCGGCGGGCGCGGGCTCCTCCTCGTCCGAGCTCAGTTGGATCACCTCCGTTGCACCGCTGGGCGCCATTTTGCGCGAGAAAAAGAATTTAAACAACCAACTCTCTCTCACAGCAGACAGGCTCGACACAGGTGCGAACTGGCGCGTGCTAGTACTATCACCGGCACACCACCGGAGCCGCCTAAGCGACTCCGTTAAGAACGGCAATGCACTTAGCTCCGTGCACAATGCCGCTGTCCCCGCACGCTAGCTCGTTCACCGTCTGCCACGCCACGGCGGTGTGGAGAACGACAGACAAGCGCTGCATCTGCAGCCCGTGCCAGTTCTTGGTGGTCCATGTGACCTCATCGAGGTGCTGAGCGTGCGAAAGTTTGTTACTCAGCTGGTCCGCCGCCTGCCGAAGAATTCTGCGGACGCCGTCCCCGAAGCCGCCGAACGTCTCGAAGTCGAGCAAACGCAGGTCGCAATTCTTCTCCCGCGCGAACCGGTAGTCGCCCTTCTCGTAGCGGGCCGTCACAGGTGCCCCCGCCTCCGCCTCCCCCTCACTCTCCCCCTCCTCCTCTTCCGCCGCCGCCGCCTCGGAGAGTGCCGCCGCCTCGGCGCCAGCCTTGATGGCCCCGCGGAGCGTGGCGAGCAGAGGGGAAAAAGAATTTTCCGACCACGTCGGCACACGCACGATTCACACGATGGTTGAAGCGAGAATCGGAGAGAGACTGCGAAGAGAGATAGGAAGAGGCAGACTCCCTAGGGTAGGCGACGGCTAGCGCATCACACTCCTCTCCTTAAAATCCCTGTGTGGTGGCGGCGTGCCGTTCTCCCATCCCTCCCTTGGGGTGTCTGTTTTCTTTCTTTCTTTTTCTTTCGATTCACACGACAGACAAGGCGCAGGCGACGGCTTCCTTAGAAGCCGTTGCCCTCGCCATAAAGGAAGTCGTCCTCAGGCAGATGATCGAATCCGCCGTTTCAGCAGCTCCGGCCCAACCATTCCGGCCACCGACGGGATGGCGAGCAAGAGGAAGAGCACGCACATGAGCCAAAATGTGCCCGCCGTCCGGGCACAAATAGTTTTTCTCGCGAACACGACACGGAAACTCAGCCTGGGGCCCGTCGTGTCTACACACTGCCGTCGGTCATTTCACCAAGGGCAGGGGGACGGAGCTGGTCCGCTGGTCTACGAGATTTCAGGCGGTCTTTTTGTTCCTGGGTCTTCTTGCAGGTGGCAAACGTTTTTTCTTGGCAAAACAGATGTGGCTCTCGAGCACAGAAGATGAACTCGACGGACCGCCGTCGACCGACACCGGATCATGTAGACAGAGTTGCGGGAGGTTCATTCACGCGCGCTCTGTTCAGTGCTCTCGGCACCCGGCGTGCGGCGAGGATCGACTCGAGACCACGCACCACGGACGATTGCGGGTCGGGGTTGGCTTGTATCGGTTGCGACTAGCGTGTTAGCTGTTACTCAGTGTGTGAGCTGTCGTGTGGATCCTGACCTCTCAGTCTCACGTGTGCGCCCGCGCGCCGCGGGGGCGTTAGGCTGAACAAGCTTTTCCTCTCGCACCCCGTCTCTTTTCCTTTCCTTTTTTCTCTACAGCACCCTCTCTTTTCCTCTCTATTTCCCCGGGGAAACCATCAAATTTTCCGGGCCCCCGCGCGCGTGTTTTTGTCTCGGTGTGTGTGACCGCTGTGAGTGTGTTATCTCGGTTCGGGGTCAGGGGGTCTGGTCGGAATATCTTGCCCCATGCCCGCAGTACGCGTTCTTCCGTCAATTTTCGGGTCGAAAACACAACACTCCAGAAGAGCTTGGGCGGTGTGAGCTCTCACCGCCCGCGGACCGCCGACCCCCCTTGGCACGCTCCGTGGCAGCCTCTGTGCTGCTCACAAGCCGCCCCTCTGCTCAACCGCCGCGCCTCGCCGCTCGCGCTCTCTCTCTCTCTCCTCTCACGTGGCGACCACGCCGGTGCCCGTCGCACACAGCCGCATGGCCGCCCTCCCGCCGCCCCGCCTCCCGGGGCCTCCCCTACTTTGGTCCAACCGCAAGCTTGCCGCCGCCGCCGCGGTTCCCCGACCCGCCGCGCTTCTTCGGCTTGTCGTTGCGCCCGTTGCCGCCGCCCGACGCTGCCGAGCCGCCCGCCTCCTTCTTGTGCCCCCCCGACACCTTGCCGGCCGCCGCCCCGCCCTCCCGGCCCGCCCCAAACCCCAGCTCGTCCTTGCCCGGCACCGCCTCTGACGCGACCCAGCCTGGGATGAGCCCGCCGCCGCCGCCGCCCCCGCTGCTAAACAGCGAGTGCAGGTTCGACCCCCCCTCGCCGCTCGGCCCGCCGCCGCGGCCCATCGCACCGCCGCCGCCGCCGCCGCCGCCGCCGCCGCCTCCGCCGCTGCCTCCGCCACCCGTGCCCTGCAGCAGATTCTGAAGCTGCGACGACAGAGGCAACGACGCGTTGGACAGCGATGCGCCTCCCAGCCCTGCGAGCGCCCCTCCTCCTCCTCCTCCTCCTCCGCCGCCGCCTCCACCGCCTCCGCCGCCGCCTCCCCGGTGCGAGAGCAGGTCAGCGCCGAGGCCGTTGACTCCATTCCCAGCTCCTCCGTTTGGAGGCGGGCCGCCCTCCGCCCAGAGCTTCGACGCCATGCCCGCCGTTGGTGGCGCCTAGGCCGGCGATCGGGTCGATCCCGCCGAGGGCCAGACCTCCCAGCCCGCTGCTCGCGCCCAAAAACAAAATTGTTACATTCGGCAGCTG